AAGGATAAGCATTATTCTTGGGCATTTGACTCCTACGAGGACTCTACTAGGGAAAATTAGATTCCTATTAGGATTGTGCCAGACAGAATCTATAAAAGCTCATGACATAACATTTGCACAGCTATTGCAATTCTTATTCTCAAATATACAGAGGTTATTGTCTATTGTCCACTTTGCTGACTTAGGCGTCGAAGGGGTTTCTGGCACACACTTTTCGGCTAGCTCACGTTTGTGTTTTCAAGTAGCAAAGTGATGACGTTTGGAGGATTGTAAACTTGGTCAATAGGATTATACGAGATGATTATTCTGTGCTCGTATAATTGGCACCGTTTGTGGGAAGCACAACAGAGAACGAACCTTTTGATTAAGTTTTCCTTCAATTGATTTCAATGGCACACGACGAAGATTTGCCCCATTCTGCTATTGACGAGCAAACCTCGAAAGGGGACAGAAGGCGCGAAGGTTTGCCTTTTGTCTTGCCTATGGCAGAATTGGATCCCTAGTGACGGAATTTATGGAAGGATGCGCGAGAAAGACGGGGCTCAAGTTCTCATCGCTCTCAAAGCCCTGATAGACAGAGACAGATGATGGATCCTCAAGTTCTGGAAGATCGCATAAAGGAGCAAGACGAATTGATAAAAAGAATGGAGGCTGACATGGAGATAATGAAGCGCCAAATGAAGGGCAAAGGGGTAGCTGAAGAAGAGATTCGCGAAGGCAGAACGCGTTCTTACTAACTAGGAGATCGTGACAGACAAGTCACGTCATCACAATCTGAGAGCAGAAGCCTCAGGACAGGTGATACACAATCAAGAACCTCTAGGACTCGTTACTCTAAGTCTGAGAGAACAAGGACTGAAAGGTCCCGTACAGAGGGAAACAACTATCGATCCTCACATACGCATCAAACAACCTTTCGGCACACCGAGTTGCCTAGGTCAGCGGACCTATAGACCGTGCTGGAGAAAAGAGCTTGAAGGAGAGAAGATGCCCATGCACGCGACCCTCAAAGGGTCCCTGCTCTACAATGGTTGCATCCCAGGACACATGGAAGTGTCGAGGTTAGAATGCGAGTGTTGCGCCTTACTTACGAGCCAGCAGACACAGCTCTAACAAGGTTGCAAAGCTTGCCGTTCGTTCTAACAATAGAGAACGCACCATTACCCTTAGGCTTTCACCAGCCTAAGTTCACAACTTACAAAAAAAAGTCAGATCCTTACATGCACTTTAGCCACCTGAGCCAGGTTATAGCCATATATCGACGGAATGAGGCTATAATGTGTATCTTGTTTCCCTCAAGCTTAGGCGACCTAGGCTTGGCTTGGTTTAAGAGGTTGCCAGAAAGCAACATAGTTTCATAGGTGCAACTCGCAGAGGCGTTTGTTAGCAGGTTTAAAACAAACACCAAGACGCCGGTGGAGATAGACCAGCTGCTCTCTATTGATATGGGCGAGAAAGAAACACTGAAGTCTTACAACAACCGATATTGAGAGACTTTTAATCAGATCGGAGATTGCCCCACAAACCTAGCTATCGCATAGTATCAGCGGGGTTTGTTGGTTAACAATAAATTGAGGGATTCAATGATAATGACACCACCTCTCACTACGGAAGCCCTAATGGGAAGAGGGCATCAGCATATCAGAGTAAATGAAGATGGCGCACGGGCCAAAGCTAAGTCCAACACAACAGCGATGTCGGACAAAAAGCCCATGGCAAAAGTTAAAACGGTCAATTAAGAAGAACCACCGAACAAAAATGGTCAAGGCAGACGACTAAACTGTGAGGACACCCAAGCAACGGGGTTTAGAGTACATACTGCCATCACCACGGTGTTCAATAAACCTATCTACCGAATTCTTAGCGAAATACGCAACGAATCCTTCGTTCGGTGGCCAGCCAAGTTGGAAGAAACATAGAGGGGCTATGATGATAGATATCGGTGTACCTTCCACGAAAAGGGAAGGCACTGAACTGAAAATTACACGCCGTTGAGGCAGCACTTGGAAGAGTTAGTGGCCGCTGGCCACTTGGACTAGTACATTAAGGGGGGAACTCGGCCACCCCTCCAAGATCGTAACAGGCCAAATAAAATGCCAATCAATGGTCCACCTAAAGGGATAATTAATATGATACATGGGATCATTGACCCCAAATGAGTATGCGAGTTGCAAGGGTTGATCAAGAAAGTGAAGCACGTAAGGGAAATACTAAGTGTACAACCTACCGTCAAAAGAGGGAAGACCGAGGAGAAAAATGTCGTCATCTTCTCCGACAGGGACTTGGCAAGGTTGCAAAGCCCTCATAATGATGCACTAGTGGTAGCTCTGTGCGGCAAGAATTTTCACATCAAACAGATCCTGATTGACCAAGGGAGCTCGTGCGAGATAATGTATTACGAAACCTTCAAACAACTCAAGTTTGAGGATAAAGATTTGGCACTCGCAACATCTCCATTGGTCGGTTTCAACTCTATGCCAAAATGGCCGGTTGGCAAGATAATTTTACTGGTCAAAGCTGGGACAATGACAAAGCAGGTGGAATTCTAGGTATTGAGAGTTCCTTCCACTTACAACATTATCTTCGGAAGGACATGGATACATGCCCATGCGAGCAGTAATGTCATGACCCAAACCCGCCCCTATAGGTTTAGCGTCATAATCGGCCAGTAATCCTTGGATTACCAAAGGCCTCTTAACAGAATAACGTATAGTTAGGGGCTGCAGAAATAAATATATAAAATATGCGTAGTCCATTGAGCTGTGAAACATACCTGGGACAGATAATTTCAAAACTTTTATAACCTAGCCAGTGACTTCAAAAGATACAGTATTTACACATCGTTCCAAGAACATTTAACCAAAAATCTTGCCCGTAATTCAAAGAACAAAGTCTAGTACATTCACAAAACAACCACTAAACTCGACTTAATCTGGAACCTCCTCAGGAGGCACAAAGGTTGACTGGCAAAAATTGAGACGTCAGGTCCTCAACTCTGGGTCTGGTCACATGCCTGATCACCTACATACATAACATAAATAGTAAACGGAAGCCCGGTGAATAATAACAGAGTAAAGGGTTTTAACGAATAATGTCCATACAGATTCAGAATTCATAATTCAGATTCATAACAAATTCATATTCATATTCTTGTTCAGATCATATACAGAAATCAGAGTTCATGCTTAATCATACGTGGTACATCCGTTAGCGCTAACAAAACAGATGCAGAACATATGGTGGTTATGAATAACCAGTTCCATAAAGGAACCTCCGGATCCGGGTAACAGAGAATAGATATATTGAGCCCCATGATGGAGCCTCCGGTACGGGTAATAGAGTGCAGACATATTAAGTTCCATGATGGAACCTTCGATACCGGGTAACAGCTAACAGATATCACATGATGCTAAGGATGCCACTAATACATTGTTAAAAATTGGACAATCATTCATTGTACAGAACATATCATTTCAAAAAATAGATCTTAATTCATCATACAGAAAGTAAATAAAGTTGAACATAGCTTTACTAAGTTATTACTCATAATTGGCTTCGGGTGCAGACAGACAGAATAGGTTAATCAAACGGTCTATGACATGTGGCCTACATTAACACATAACAAATACATATTTGAAACATACATTGGAATACATCTAACTCATTACGTTCTTGTTCTTAGTATGTTTCCTCATTGATCCTCCTTATTATGCCTTAATCTTGGCCTAGGAATACTTAGGATGGAATAAGGATACAAAAATGTATTTGAAACACTTGACAAAACCTTTGCTGAAACAAGGGTCTCGCTCGAGCGTGGCTTTCTTCGCTTGAGCGGACATGCCAAATGTGGGTGGTCGCTCGAGCACACACTCCTTCGCTCGAGCGGTCTGCAAAGTATGAAAAAGTTCTAGTTACATGAAATTTTCACTCGACGGTCGCTCTAGCGTGAGACCCAAGTCCTCACTCGAGCGCAACTCTTGTCACTCGAGCGGACTGCAAAATACGCAAACTTCTGAGAGCAAGCAATTTACACTCGAGCCACCCTTTTGTCGCTCAAGCGGGAATGTGAAGATGAAAGTGGTCGCTCGAGCATGGAAACCTTTGCTCGAGCGTGGAAGCAAAATTGTGGGTTTTCCAGATTTGCTTCCAAAGTTTAAAACATGAATTCAATACTTCAAAACTCATCCTTTTGGGCCAGAATTCTGGAAAACATTTAGAAACTCACAAAACATTATTCTTTAAAGATCATTTCATGAAATCAAGGCCCAAAAGCATGCCAATTGTTCACAAATTCAACTTAACTTCATGAATTCTCCAAAAACATGGCATGCATGAAATGATTGAGCTTTAAGTTTCTAAATCATGATCAAATGAAATGAGAGGATATAAAACATGATGAATTCCTACAACTAAGCTCAATTTAGGACATGGATGAGAGAATTCCTAGCAAACATGCTCCAAATGTAATGAAATATACATGCATGTATGAATTGATCTTCCTTCCTACTTCTTAAGCTTGATTCTTACATCTCATAGCTCAATTCACTTAAATTCATGGGTGAATCAACTCAAATTCAAGACTAAAGGCTTGGTTTCTTACCTAAAGTCTTCAATTCTTTGAACTCTTGGTGAATCCTAACTCAATTCTTCAATTTCCCTTTAATTTCCTAGCAATTCCTCCCTTTTTGTTTCTTGAGATCAACTCACACTCTCTAATTCTCTCTTCCTCTCACGTTTATGAGCTCAAGGAGTAGGGAATGAGGGTGTAAAGTAAAATAAGAGAGTCAAAGTAGCCTTATATGGGCTTAATTAAAGTGGCTTTAATTAAGATTGACTTAGGTTAATCACATTGACATTAATTATTCTAATTTAATCGTTCCAAATCGAATTTCAATAAAACCTACCATAAAATTCTATAAATTCCACATAACACATATATCAAGTCAATTTCGTGATCAGATGCCGATAAGGCCTTCCATTCACAAAATGTAACAGAAATTTCAAACAGATACTCCTACAATGAACAGATAAAACACAAATAATGCACCACATATGCAATTAATTCAAAATTTGATCTTAATAACTTATTAGGCATGTTAAATCATGGATTATCGTTAATCTTGAGTCGGGGATGTTGCAGTTTTCCCCCCTTAAAGAGTTTGGTCCTCCAAACTCGAGTTACCTTCATTCTGGAATAATACCAGGTCCAAAGGGAATACTTCAGGGTATCTTTTCATCATTTCTTCCTCTGTCTCCCAAGTTGCATAAGTTCGTTTGTGGTTTTGCCAATTAACTTTTACCAGCGGTATGTCTTTGTTTCTCAATCTCTTGATTTGACGGTTTATAATTTGCATCGGTCTCTCCTCATATGTATAATCATCTTTTAGAAGTACATGAGTCAGCTCAATCACATGTAACGGATCTCTCAAATAGTCCCGAAGTATAGAGACATGAAAGACATTGTGCATGTTTTCCATCACCAGAGGTAAGGCTACTCGGTATGTTACTGGATTTATTTTCTCGAGAATCTCATATGGCCTAACACATCTTAGCGCCAATTTGCCCTTAACATCAAACCGTGTTTGCCCTTTCATCGGAGTCATTTTTATGAACATATGATCCCCGACTTCGTATTCTCTATATCGCCTGCGGACATCTGCATAGCTCTTTTGGCGGCTTTGTGTAGTTTTCAATCTCTGTTGAATTAATTTCACATTTTTAGTTGTTTCTTGTACAAGTTCTGGTCCCAACAATGGTCTGTCACCCACTTCAGCCCAACAAATAGGAGAAAGACATTTCCTTCCATATAGAGCTTCATATGGAGCCATCTAAATTCTTGAATGATAGCTGTTATTGTACACAAACTCGGCTAATGGTAGATAAGTCTCCCAATTCCCTTGGAAATCCAACACACACATCCGTAACATATCTTCTAAAGTCTGGTTGGTTCTTTCGGATTGACCGTCTGTCTGTGGATGGTAGGCACTACACAATCGCAATTCGATTCCCAAAGCCAGTTGCAAACTCTGCCAAAATCTTGATGTAAACTTCGAATCTCTGTCAGATACAATAGATACTAGTACATCATATAATCTCACAATTTCATTCATATACATGTTAGCTAACTTGTCCGCATTATAAATAGTTTTAACAGGCAAAAAGTGGACAGATTTAGTCAAACAATCAACTATGACCCAGATAGAATCCATACCTTGGGAATAGCAAGTGTCATGACCCAAACCCGCCCCTATGGATTTAGCACCTTAACCGGCCAGTAATCCGAGATTACCGAAGGCCTACTTAACAATAATACAGTAGAACAGAGTACAGGGGCCTGGCGGAAGCCAAAATAGTAAATAAACAATGTCCAATAAGCTGTGACAGTCTGTATGCAAAAGACTTTTTCATACATATATGTAGTCAGTGACAAACAGTATGTACATATATACAATCATTCAGTTCAGGGACCTAATCCCTATTAAACAGTACGGTAACAATCTACAGTTTACAAAAACAGAACAGAAGGGGAAAAACTAAAACACCCCATAGCCTTAGCTTAACAGGCTCGGGACCTCGCAGTGAAGCACAGTGGTTGGCTTGACAAAACTGGAGCTTAACCCCGACGCTTCTAGCCACAGTCTGGTGCCTGTGCACCTACATATATATATGAGCAGTGAGCTAAAGCCCAGTGAATAACATAATGTGTAAAGAGGTTTAGAATGAATGTCCTTACAGTAATGAAAACAGTTCATTAAATCAGTGTTTCAGTCATTCAGTCAGTACAGTCATATGTGGTACATCCATTAGCATAACAGTACAGTAAACAGTAGGTCTTGAAAGACCGAACAGTCAATGATGGCCATCAATTAGTAAACAGTAGTGGTTCCAACAAGGGAACCGACAGAGATCTCTGTAACAGTAACAGTAAACAGTAGTTGCTAAGGATGCCGTAATACAGTTCAGAATATAGGACATACATTCATTCAATTAATAGTATCAGTTCAGAAAGCAGTACAGTTCAATTGTTTAGAAGATAATCATTTTGAAGATATCTTTACACAGTTGTTACTCACAGAGTTCTGGACTACAGTTAGGCTAGAGCGCGTCCCCAGTCGCCAACCCTACACAGTTTACAGATTGAACATACACTAAGCTACACAGTTGGGAAAGATAATGACTTAATCCCTATCTTGACTCGGTGTGGTTCTACATCTATATCCTCATTAAGGTGCCTTAAACTAGGCCTAAGAATGCCTAGGATGAAATGAGGATGCAAAGATGCACTTTAAAAGCATTTTCAAAATTTCTAGAAAACAGGGGTCCCGCTCGAGCATAGATTAATCCGCTCGAGCGGACATGCAGACAAAGGTTTCCGCTCGAGCGCATACTCAACCGCTCGAGCGTACTTCAAAACAATCAAAAGTTCTAGATAGGTGAAATCCACACTCGATTAGGCGCTCGACATCCGCTCGAGCGTAAGACACAAGGTCCCGCTTGAGCGTCAATTACCCCGCTCGAGCGGACATCAAAACAGTGCAAAATACTGGGAGCACGAATTTCACGCTCGAGCGCCAATCACCCCGCTCGAGCGTGTGTTCAAAATCTGGAATTCCCAGATTTGAACCTCAAGCTTAAATTCAACTACAAATGTATCAAATTCGATTCCTTTGGGCCCATTTCCTGGAAAACACTTCAAAACTCATAGTTTAACATGATTCAAAGCTCAATTGTAAAAATCAAAGCCCAAAGGTGTTCAATTCAAACCCAATTTCAAACCAATGTTCATGAACAAGATGAACATGCAACATGCATGGACTTAAATCATTTCAAAGCTTTAAATACAAGCTCAAATGAGCTAACTCTTACAAAAACATGATGAATTCATGGTCTACTCTCAAAATATAGACATGCAAGTGAGGAATGATGAATTACAACCTCAAAACTTGTCAATATGTACGTGCATGCAACAATTGAGCTTTAATTCAACAATTTGAGCCATATGTTAGCTCTAGACTTTAACTTGCTCTAAAACCATGCAAGAATCAATTGAATTCACAAACAAGAGGGTAGTTACACTACCTTAGGTCTGTAGTTCAAGAATGGAAGCACAATTTTGAAATCAACCTTCGATTCCTTTAGGTTCTCAAAGCAATCACAAGAACGAACTCAATTTCTCTCCCTCACTTTCTTAGTCGGCAAGAACAAGGAGTTTGGCTGAAGAAAATGTTGTATCTAAGTGTAATAAGGCTCAACATATTAATAAACAAAGGCCCCACTAGATGGCATTTAAGTAATAAATCCAACTCCTATAATTCTTTACCAATTAATCTAATTTAATCATTCCAAATCAGTTTTCAAATAATTACACCATAAAATCACATAAATTATGATGATCATGAAACACTAATCGATCTTCCGTTCGGCTGCCGATAAGGCCTTCAATTTGTAGTTTAAACATAAAAACACGAACAGATCAATTAAATAGTCAAATAGATAGATAATGCATTTAAACAGATACAGTCAATCAATCAGTTTCAGATTTCAGTCAATCAGTTCAGTATTTCAATTACTTCAGTTATCAATCATAATCAGTCTCAGTTTAGCAGTAATCGGTAGTTTATCAATAAACAGTGATGAGGGTTGTTACAGCAAAGCAGACCGACAATGAAATCCATAATAATATGTTCCCACTTCCATTCCGGTATTGGAAGCGGCTGAAGTAATCCAGCGATTCGTTGATATTCAGCTTTAACTTGTTAGCAGTGCAAACATTTAGCTACAAAGTCGGCAATGCTTTTCTTCATTCCAGGCCACCAGAAGTTCTGTCTCAAGTCATGATACATTTTTGTGTTCCCCGGATGCATGACGAATTTGAAGCTATGAGCTTCAGTCATAACACGCTTTCTTAAATTAGAGGAATCTAGTATACAAAGTCTATTATGAAATTTCAACACATTATTCTCAAACACAAAGCCCGGCCTTGGCTTTGAGTCAAATTCTTCCACAATCTTTTTCAAGAACTCATCTTCAAGTTGTTTTTTCCTAATTTCTTCAATGATTGCAGGTTAAGTAGAAATAGTAGCCACAGTTCCACTCTGTTCTCGCATCACAATCTCAATTTCATTCTTTTCCAGGTCACATAACAATTCCTTCTGGCTAGTGAGCAAACATGACAAATTCCCAATGGATTTTCGGCTCAGAGCATCTGCAACGGTATTTGTTTTCCCCGAATGATACAAAATTTGCAGGTCATAATCTTTGATTAACTCTAACCATCTCCTCTATCTTATGTTCAATTCTTTTTGGGTGAAGAAATATTTAAGACTTTTATAATCCGTATATACTTCACAAGTCACACCATACAGATAATATCGCCAAATTTTCAAAGCAAAGACGACAACTGCTAATTCAAGATCATGAGTTGGATAATTCTTTTCATGTGGACGAAGTTGCTGGGAGGCATAAGCAATTACCTTCCCATACTGCATTAATACATAACCCAACGCTTTATACGAAGCGTCACTGTAAATCTGAAACCCACCAGTACCATTAGGTAGAGTTAGGATTGCTACAGTCACTAATCTGGTTTTCAGCTCTTGAAAAGTTATTTCACGCTGATCATTCCAATCAAATGGTACATTCTTTTGTGTCAACTGCGTCAATGGCATAGCAAGTTTCGAGAAATCTTTCACAAACCTTCTATAGCAACCTACAAGTCCTAGAAAACTTCTCACTTCTGACATATTAGTTGGTCTTGGCCAGTTCACAATGCCTTCAATTTTCTGAAGGTCAACCAAGACACCATCTCTATTAATTACATCCCTTAGGAACGCTACATTATCAAGCCAAAATTCACATTTGGCGAATTTCGCATATAACTTCTTTTCCCTTAGTATCTGTAACACGGTTCTCAAGTGATTCTCACGTTCTTCCCTACTTTTGGAGTAAATCAAAATATCATCAATAAATACAACAACAAATTCATCCAAAAATAATTTAAACACCCTATTCATAAGGTCCATAAAGGCAGCAGGTGCATTAGTCATCCCAAATGGCATTACTAAAAATTCATAATGTCCATATCTAGTTCTGAATGCAGTTTTCTCTATGACTTCTGCCTTAACTTTTAACTGTACCCAGATCTAAGGTCAACTTGGAAAACACTTGGGCTCCCTGAAGTTGATCAAACAAGTCATCTATTCGGGGTAGAGGGTATTTGTTCTTGATAGTTACTTTGTTCAATTCCCGATAATCTATACATAACCTCAAAGATCCATCTTTCTTCTTGACAAATAGGACTGGAGCACCCCAAGGTGAAGTGCTTGGACGGATGAATTTCTTGTGTAGCAATTCCTGAAGTTAAGTTTTTAATTCTTTCAATTCTGAGGTTGACATTCTATAGGGAGTCTTGGAAATAGTTTGTGTTCCCAGAGTCACTTCAATAGTGAATTCAATTTCTTTATTAACTAAGTCTCCAAGCAAGTCATTCAGAAACACAACGGGAAATTCACAAGCAACAGGAATAGTTTCCACATTAATACTATCAGATGATGCAGTTAGTATACAACACATGTAGCCCCTTATATCTCTTCCTAAGCAATTTAACAGCTTTCATGGCCAAAATCAAGTATGGGGGAGGAACTACCCCATTTCTAGTAAAAATAAATTCAAGCATACTCGGTGGTCTAAACACAACAGATTTACTTGCACAGTCAATAGTAGCACAGTATTTAGTCAACTAATCCATACCCAAAATACAATCAAAAGTATCAATGTCCAAGGGCAACAACTCAACATATAATGTCATATCACTAATCATAATATCACA